TAACAAATGGAGATTTGGTATCAGATATTATTGTAGGTGAAAGTTTAGGATCCAATGATCATCAGTCAGTGTGGTTTAATATAAGAACAGTGACTGAGTCACACCACACAAAAACAAAAGTTTTAGACTTTAGAAAAACAGACTTTTCTAAAATTAGAATATATGTAGAGGAGTCATTATCAGACTGGAGCAATTTAAATGGAGTCCAAGAGAAATGGGATTATTTAAAAGTTGCACTATTGAAGGCAACAGAAAATTGCATTAGGCTTGTCAGTAAAAGCAAAAAATTAAAGAAACCACTGTGGTACTCCGCAGATGTGGCCAAAATAGTTAAAAACAAAAAGTTAGCATTTAGGAATTATAAAAAAAAACAGAGTGAGGAAGACAAAATGATCTATAAGATTAGGCAGAAAGAGGCTAAGCAAGTTATAAGAGCTTCCAAATCACACACAGAAGAGAAAATAGCACAGTCAGTAAAAAAGGGGGACAAAACATTTTTTAGATACATAAATGAGAAAAGAAAAGTAAAACAAGGATTAGTTAGATTAAAAACAAAAGAAGGAAGGTATGTAGAAGAGGATAAAGGTCTAGCTGACTGCCTCAATTAATATTTTTGTTCTGTATTTACAGATGAAAATGAAGGAAAAGGACCTCAGTTGAGAAAAAGGATAAATTAGTCATTTATTACACGTGAGTTTACAGAGGAAGAGGTTCTATTTTAACTGTCAAAAGTAAAGACAAATAAGTCAATGGGACCTGATGGAATACACCCAAAGCTATTAAAAGAGCTTAGTGGTGTACTAGCAAAACCATTAACAGATTTATTTAACTAATCATTGTTAACAGGAGTAGTCCCAGAAGATTGGAAGTTAGCAAATGTTGTGCCCATTTACAAGAAAGGTAATAGGGAGGAGTAGGGCAACTATAGGCCAGTAAGCCTTACTTCAGTAGTGGGGAAAGTGATGGAAACCATGTTAAAGGATAGGATTGTTGAACATCTAAAAACACATGGATTTCAAGATCAGAGACAACATGGATTTACTTCAGGGAGATCATGCCAAACTAATCTTATTGATTTTTTTGATTGGGTAACTAAAATTATAGATCAGGGTGGTCCAGTAGACATTGCTTACCTAGATTTCAGTAAGGCTTTTGACAGTGCACATAGAAGGCTTATCAATAAACTGCAATCTTTAAGTTTGGATTCTAATATTGTTGAATGGGTAAGGCAGTGGCTGAGTGACAGGCAACAGAGGATTGTAGTTAATGGAATATATTTGAAGCTTGGACTTGTCACAAGTGGGGTACCTCAGGGATCTGTACTTGGACCCATTCTCTTTAATATTTTTACTAGTGATATTGCAGAAGGTCTTGATGGCAAGGTATGTCTTTTTGCTGATGATACTAAGATATGTAACAGGGTTGATGTTCCAGGAGAGATAAGCCAAATGGCAAATGATATAGGTAAACTAGAAAAATGGTCAGAATTGTGGCAACTGACATTTAATGTGGATAAGTGCAAGATAATGCATCTTGGACGTAAAAACCCAAGGGCAGTGTATAGAATATTTGATAGAGTCCTAACCTCAACAATTGAGGAAAGGGATTTAGGGGTGATTATTTCTGATGACTTAAAGGTAGGCAGACAATATAATAGGGCAGCAGGAAATGCTAGCAGAATGCTTGGTTGTATAGGGAGAGGTATTAGCAGTAGAAAAAGGGAAGTGCTCATGCCATTGTACAGAACACTGGTGAGACCTCACTTGGAGTATTGTACACAGTACTGGAGATCGTATCTTCAGAAGGATATTGATACATTAGAGAGGGTTCATAGAAGGGCTACTAAACTGGTTCATGGATTGCGGAATAAAACTTACCAGGAAAGGTTAAAGGATCTTAACATGTATAGCTTGAAGGAAAGACGAGACAGGGGGGATATGATAGAAACATTTAAATACATAAAGGGAATCAACACAGTAATGGAGGAGACTATATTTAAAAGAAGAAAAACTACCACAACAAGAGGACATAGTCTTAAATTAGAGGGACAAAGGTTTAAAAATAATATCAGGAAGTATTACTTTACTGAGAGGGTAGTGGATGCATGGAATAGCCTTCCAGCTGAAGTGGTAGAGGTTAACACAGTAAAGGAGTTTAAGCATGCGTGGGATAGGCATAAGGCTATCCTAACTATAAGATAAGGCTAGGGACTAATGAAAGTATTTAGAAAATTGGGCAAACTAGATGGGCCGAATGGTTCTTGTCTGCCGTCACATTCTATGTTTCTATGTTTCTATTGATTCTGGTTAAAATAGGAGGCATGATTTTAAATATTCATTTATTTCTCTGATATCTTTTTTTAGATTGGAAATTTGTCTGTGAGTTTTCTTAATTAATGTGCTGTAATAAGACATGATACAAATGACTAAGTTTTCATCAGGTTATTCTTTTGATTATGTGTGCAATGCATTTAATGTTTTTTTTTCAATAACTTTAAAGACTCTGAAGTATTAAAAATAGAGCCCATGGAGTTATAGTGCATGTGGCAAAAAGCAGGGCCCAAAATTTCCACTCGCCACTAGCTACTGAAAATACCATCCTGTGATGAAAACCGCATCCCTTGTAAGTGTGCAATGGGCCCTCCAGGCTTGCAGTGGCAAGTAACTTTCAAGGTCTGAATAGTAGTGTAGAAGTTGAAATTTTAAGCTTTGTTATAGGAACACACCAAGTACCCTAACCACTGTACAGCTCCCCACCTCTCTGCAGCTTCCAGGAGAGCCAGAAGCTTCTGCTATGAGCATCCGTTAACTCTCATGAGCTAAACCCTGCAGTTCCAGAACATGAGCTATGCCCGCTACTATGGGTCTTAGCTTAGACATGAGAGCTTATTCGAGCAGCGAAGGAAAGAAGCAATGTCAAATAACTACTTACATTGAGGAAACATCAGGGCATTTCTGGCATCATAACCACTAAGTATGCAACTTAAAATACTTTTTTTCTTTTTTGCTTAAACCATTCACTGTAAAAGTCATGTTTATGTGATTTCATGGGTATTTTCCTACACCCCAGAACCGTGCGTACCTGATTTTGAAAGTTAATTTTGTTTGCAATTCTTTTCCTTTGGGGTGCCAGGTAGCACAGCTGGTTCTCCTATTACAGTGTGCCAGCTCTGTGGGCATCCTCTGCAGCTGCACAGGCTGGTGGCTGATATAACTATCTCCCTAGCCAGCCCTATGTGCAAATTTGTACCTCTGGCTGTGTGCAGATCACATTATGGCTCCCTTGTTTTCAGAGGAAGTATTTATAGTGGTCTGCAAATATTTATAGTGGTAGACCAGCAGGTAGGTCCCACCTCATTGCCAAAGAGTTAAGTGTAGGATAATAATGAAAAAGGTTTTTTTTTTTGTTTTGTTTTTTTTTTGTTTTAATTGATTTAGAGGATATAATGTATTAGGAGGCTGTAAACAAATATGCAGCCTCACAACACACAGCCACCCTCACAATCACTTCCATAGTTTTCATCTACAGTCACATCTGCACTTTCTCCCACAGTTCCCCTTTACAGACGCCCCCACACTTTCCCCTATTATCAACAAAACAGTCACAAAAAATACACTCACAGAAACACATACAAGGATATTCACAACCTGACACATACTCTCAGACACATATACAGAAACATATTGCCAGACAGACACACACAAATACCAATACATACTGCCAGACATATTTAGTCAGAAATACAAAGCTAAATACACACTGTACAGAAAATGTGGATGTATACAACAAAACAGTGGGACTAAGTGTGGTAGCTAGAATGCCACAAACCACCTCAGTGGGAAACCCCTCACACCACTCAAAACAACACAAATCAATATGTACAATAATAGGTAGGTCACACTTCTGAATATGTCTGAAAAAGATATATACAAAACACAAAATAGTGTAATAAAGTTTATGTAAATAGGCAGTATAGAGTTTGAGTGAAGTACTCACAAGCCTAGAGCCAAATATATGTGGCTCTCACTGATGTCGCCTTGGGACTTTAAGGATGTCCCTCTCCTATTACCACATGGCTGGATAGCTGTTCCCACTTGGCTTGAAGGGGTTCCAAAGTGAATGGCTGCTCCCACTTGGCTTGTCAGAATTCCCAAAAAAGAAACAATTTTTTTTGGTACAATGATACTTTTTATCATCAAATTAGGGGTACAGCTATGGGCACCAAATTTGCACCCAGTTATGCAAATCTATTTATGTCATATTGGGAGGAACATTTCATTTTTTCCTCCCACCCTTGGGTGTCGAATTTGGTGTCCTACCATCGATACATCGATGATATTTTTTTAATCTGGGTTGGTCCTATGGAGCTTTTAGAAAGTTTTAAACTTTGTCTCAATGATAATGAATGGGGAATTTTACTTACAACAACCCAAAGTCAGACGGAAATACAATTCCTAGACCTTCAGATCTTTATACAAGATGCACAGATTAAACCTAAGAACTTCTTTAAAGAGGTAGATGCAAACGAATACATTGAGAAATCTAGTTGCCACCATAGACCGTGGCTGAATAATGCACCGAAAGGGCAATTCCTTAGAATTAGGCATAACTGTACCAATGAGGAAGACTATATGATACAGGCAGGAAGAATAAAAGAACAATTTAAAGAAAAAGGCTATGAGGTAAAAGCGTTGGAGAAAGATATGGAAGATGTGAAAAGAACAGCAAGAACAAAATTACTAACTTATAAACCAAAAAATATCCAGCAAACATATTCTAAAGAAATTCCTTTTATTTGTAATTTTAATGGTAACCATAAAGGAATAAATAAAGCTATTAAAAAAGTATTGGCATGTTTTACAAGAAGATCCTATTTTAAAAAATATTTCAACCTATCCGACCCAATATAATTTATTGAGGTGCGGCCAACCTTAAAAGAACCGTGGTCCGTAGTAGTGAAGGTCCAATAGTTAGCACACATTTTTTAAATTAAAATAAAGGTTTTTATGGATGTGGGACTTGTTTGGCATGTAGGAACACCAAAAGTTCGAAGAGACATTTAACCACTATGAAAGAATATATTAATAAGGAGTTTACCATTAGAGATCAATTAACCTGTTTTTCAAAGGGAGTAATTTATGTGTTAAAATGCCCCTGTAATTTATTATATATAGGGAGAACACATACGGAATATAAAAAATGGATTAGAGACACACAGTGTATCCAACCATTTTAAGAGATACCATAGCCAAAATCCTGAAAGTTTATTTTTTTGTCCGTTAAAAATTGTTAAAAAAGATTGGAGAGGAGGCGATTTTAACAAGAAAATAGAAATAGAAGAAATGAAATTTATATATAATTTTAACACCCTTATACCCCATGGGTTAAATTTAGATTTCGAGGTCTGCCATTTCTTTTAAAGTTGCATGTTTTTTTATTATATGTTAAGCGGTAGTTTTATTTTCTTACACTTTAAGGGTTGGGGTTACTATCCCTTTAAATGAACGCTAATAAGGGGATCCTATAACCAACTGGAATAGAAGATTGCATTATGACATTTGGAATACAAAATTATATCATGAGAGGCATTTACAAATTAAACATATGACAGATGTAAAATAATCACAATACAAATTCATAATCACCTTCTACTGTTCATATATATGTATGAGTCATTTGCTAATCTAACTAGAATATTCATGTATATATGATGAAGTATTGATAACTCAATCAAAATATTCATGTATATGGGTTAAAATATGTGTTTTGGAGATAATGTTGTGTATTTGGACACTAGTTATATTAAGTTCTCTTGGTCCTGGCCAGGTTTGTGGTGGAACGCACAACCATCTTAGTGTGCATTCCAATGATGGACTCCGACACGAGGATAAAGTGGAACGCAATTTGCGTTCCAAATAGAAGGATACCGGAACCCGGAAGTATTTGGGAGACGGATCTCGGCGGAATGGAACGCACATTGCGTTCCAAATAGAAGATAGCCGGAACCCGGAAATAATTTGGAACGCACGTTGAGTTTCAAATCAGGACTGGCCGGAACCCGGAAGTAAACCAGCAAATTACTACATAAAAACGCCACAGGAAAAGAAACATACCGATTGAAAAAGCCCCTGGAAGGGGCGAAACGCGTCTCGGACTTTGCACAAGCCAATTGGCAGGACTTGATTTTATAGCACTATTGCTATAGATTTTTGTTTATATTTTTTTTACTCATTTTATGGAATTTTTTATTGATTTAATTACCATATTTTAAACATTTCTTTTGAATAAATAATTTTTATAATTTTTATAATTTTGAATCTTTTTTGAGAAGTCTATCAAGCTAAGTGGGATTTCTTTTTTGGGAATTCTGCCAAGCCAAGTGGGAGCAGCCATTCACTTTGGAACCCCTTCAAGCCAAGTGGGAACAGCTATCCAGCCATGTGGTAATAGGAGAGGGACATCCTTAAAGTCCCAAGGCGACATCAGTGAGAGCCACATATATTTTGCTCTAGGCTTGTGAGTACTTCACTCAAATTCTATACTGCCTATTTACATAAACTTTATTACACTATTTTGTGTTTTGTATATATCTTTTTCAGACATATTCAGAAATGTGACCTACCTATTATTGTACGTAAATAAACACTGTGACTGTGTGTCTGTATCTATTACTGTGTGTCTGTGCTTGCGGATGTCATTGTATGTCAGTGTGAATGTGTGTGCATGTGTCATTGCATTTATATGTGTGCATTTAAATGTGTTTGTGTGTGCATATGTACAAATTCAAAGATACAATATGGCTGAAAAGTGCATGTCGTATGGTATGAGGATTGTCATGGTAATGTGAGAACATGCAACACAACATACATGGAGCAATATTATCGATCGATCTATCTATAAACATATTTATTTTTGATTGGTGACTATAAACCAATAGTATAATAATGATGATGTATACAAAAAAATGAAGGAAGGGCCGCCCCGTAGCAAACAGGGCTGCTCACCTTCAATGCCACCCAATAATAGGGCGTCTAAGGAAAATAAATAAATTTTATTAAGAATAGTGACTTAACATCAAAAAATCTAAATCAGAAAAAACTTAGGGACTCGTACGTATAACAGTAGTTATGCCTATTAAACTGTAAGACTACAGTAGGGACAACATGTATCAATCACTATTGCATGTAGCGATGTAGACTCAAAAAAGAGTTAATGCTACAGATGATGCTTTGGATACATGTTAAATATGGCAGGTTAAATAGACTTGTGTGAAAAAAGGTTGGGGGGGGGGCCTATAAATGGAGAGGGAAACAGAATGATTCCAAATGAACCCCAAGACTGAATAGGTCAGTCTCACAATGTCTCCATATCATGTGAACGCCCCAGCATAATTAACCAATCAACAGACTGTTAGAAAAGAGTTCACTAAAAGTTATACATCTGACAAAAACCCAAAATACCTAAGGACTCATATGAATAGCAAAATGCTATCTATTGACTGCAGGGTTAAAGTATATATAATATGTGTAAACACTATTTCAATAGCAATCAAAACTCAAAAAGAGTTGATGCTAAAAGTGATCTAAACAATATATATTATTATATTATGCCCTGCAGAAAATCAGAGAGTGCAGAATAATATACTTGTATTGGAAATCGAAAGGATAGGGGAGATAATATAAACAGAGAGAGGAATATAAAGTCGGAATGGATATAAATGTAGAGTAGCTCCAGATAGAGTAGAAGCTAGATAGATAAACCTCACAGTAACTCCATATTAAGTAATGGCCCCAGCGTATTAAATAAATCAACCCCAAAAGTCACTGCAACACTCTGTCAGGAAAGAGTACACTAAAGGTATAACAAAATTAAAAATAACATCGGAGAAAAAAGCCCGACGCGCGTTTCGGCGGGTAAACCGCCTTTCTCAAGAGCGAAATCAAGTGTATCAAATTGGGTCCCCTTTTCCCCGTTTAAATAACCCCTACTGACCTCCCATCAGGTGGTATCATCCAATCCCCTTGCTTAGCGGGATTGATTATTACGCATGTCCCGCCAAAGAGTCTGCGCATGCGCACCAAACTTAGAATAGATGGTCTCTCATGGCCATCAGTGCGCATGTCAAAATATCGGTGCAGGAACAGAACAGCGTACAAAGCGTCTGCGCACGCGCGCCAAACTCAAAGTGGGTGGTCTCTTGTGGTCGTCAGTGCGCATGTCAAAACTTCAGTACAAGGACAGGACTGCGCACAAAGTGAACAGTCCCGTCACATAGTACATGCATATCTGCGCATGCGTGCCAAACTCGAAATCAGTGGTCTCTTATGATCGTCAGTGCGCATAATTAAAAGAGAGATGTCCACATCTATACAGGAGTTTAGTAAGGATAGGGGGGAGGGAGAAAAGTAAAATAAAAAAGACGAAAAAACTTAATCCTATTAATCATAGTAGAAAATAAAATAATATATTATATATATATTATAGACAAAAAAAGTGATAAGAGTAAAAACTTTCGAAACTTTCGGCAAGGCTGGTAATAGTAGATATGGGAAAAAGGAGATGGGATATATATATAACCCAATGGGTCGTATGTTTATATAAAGGGGGCAAAAGAGAAGCCCTCATTCAGCCCCAAGGGTTGGAGTGTTTTAAGTTCATATATCCATCTAGATTCCCTCTGTCTCAGTATTTTGTCAAAATCCCCACGTCTAGGGGTCCTTTTTACCAATTCCAGTCCACAGAATTTGAGATTATTAGGGTCCCCATGGTGAAATTCTTTAAGATGTCTGGATATAGGTGTCTCAAGACGATTCTTAGGGGATCTCACATGTTCCATGATTCTATCTTTAAATGCTCTAAAAGTTTTCCCCACATATTTTTGTCCACAAGTGCACTGAAGCAGGTATACAAGGCCCTTGGTATTACAGTTGAAGAAACTTTTAACTTTAAAAGAGCCCAGGCCTTGACTATCACTAACAGTCTTAGAGTTTTTGAGGATAAACTTACAAGCTACACATTTGCCACAGCCATATGTGCCAGTTGGGGGAGTACCCAACCAAGTGGCACGTGGTTGTGTTTTAATAGAGAAATGACTGGGTGTGTCTGTGCTTGCGGATGTCATTGTATGTCAGTGTGAATGTGTGTGCATGTGTCATTGCATTTATATGTGTGCATTTAAATGTGTTTGTGTGTGCATATGTACAAATTCAAAGATACAATATGGCTGAAAAGTGCATGTCGTATGGTATGAGGATTGTCATGGTAATGTGAGAACATGCAACACAACATACATGGAGCAATATTATCGATCGATCTATCTATAAACATATTTATTTTTGATTGGTGACTATAAACCAATAGTATAATAATGATGATGTATAACCTATGAAAAGTCAGTTCTGGTGTGCCAAAACTGACGACTGGTTAGGCAAGTAAAAATAGGGGGGACACCTGGTAGTAAGTATGTTATATAAAGGTAGAAGGGGGAGGGCAACACTAAAGCATCAACTGCAGATAAGGGGAGGCATCCATGTTATATAGGCTGAATTCAAAAGGAATGACATGAAAAAGACTTAAACCTAACCTAACTAAGAGAATCCTGAGGTATAGGAGAACTGTTTGTGCAGTGAGAGGACTACTGTCATGGGTGACGGTACGGAGACCGGGACCCCTGTGTGCCTGATGATGATAGGAGTCAACCTCATGAAAATGAACAATCAGGGTCTGATGCAACTTCTGCGGATCACAGGAACTAGGAGAAAATATGCAGACCTCCCAGGATCTGGATAGGGAGGCTCTGCAGCAGATATGTATCCAGTACTAAAAACAAGGCAAGACTAGAACAGGCACCAAACAAGATAAGACAAGTCTAGACTAGACGAACCCAAAACCAGAGCAGGACAGAAAGCAGAGTCCAGAACCTGTACACAAGACATGAGGGAAACCAGAACAAGGCATGGATGGGACAGGACTGTACATTAACTGGGAAGACAAAATAAAACAAGACAAGAAATACAAGGCAAAACAAGAGGAGACATAACTAAGTACTAATATGTGTAATAAAAATTGGAGATTTAGACATACATAAATGGCAAAGATGTATGCAGCCCACCAATGCATCCAAGTACTCCAATTACGATGGGTCCGAACTGCCTAGATATGCATGACTAAATAAACAATAATAAAACACACACAGCACTTACCTGCAAAAGGAATGAGCAGAGGAAATGAAACCACTGCTGCAGGACCAGACTGAAACAAAAGGATTAATGGGAAAGGAACGGGTGTGGCAACCAAAAACAACCATTTAAAGAAATCCAGGAACGGAATACAGGAATGAACCCAGACAACCCAGCATAAAGAAAACCAGACATGGAATAGAGAACCAGAAAAACTAAACCCGAATTGTAAAAAGAGTACTGGATACCAGAAGCCATCGCCAGAAATGATCTGAAGCAGGAACAGGACGTGACAATTACCATGTAATGGTAGTAAAGGAAAACCGGGGAGAAATCATTTAGTACCTTTACTGGACACCATTTGGTATTTGATGGATAAGAGGGAATTTCTACCGCAGGGCAAATTTGACAGGTTTTAGTATATTTTAATGACGTATAATCATCATTGCTTAATTAGATTTTGTATTTTAAGGAAATTATTAGAGTCTGTAAACTTAGTGACCGTGAGCTCTCTGGGTCTAAGAAACCTGTAGAAGGTCAAGTAAATGGTGGCTTTTATAACAACATCTGTATGTTGTTTGAATACTGCTCTGTCCAGTAAATCTGAGATTGCTCTGAATTTTGGACTGTCTAAGATTTTTAATGATAGAGTTTGATGATATTGTGAGCTAGTTTAATCAAGATGTGGAAAAAAGTTGTGAAAATGACCAGTCTTTCAACAGAAAAAGTGTTTGTTTATTATTTGAAAATCTTGAACTTGTTAAATATTTTGAAGGCTCTATTATAAGATGTCCTTGTATTGTCGGCAAGACCCACTTGAGCTAAAGTCTTACTGTGAGATAATAGAACTGTCAGTCTATAATTAGTTCCCAGAAGTGCTGGGGTTCTGTTTCCCCAATGGTTTGCTGTAGGATGAACTCTGAAAAATTCATGAAATTTAAAACGGAAGAAAGTATCAGCAATTGTATTGTGTATTCCAGGAATATGAGTACATATGATATAAAACTGGTGAGTAGCAGCTAGCCAAGTCAATTTCCTTACTAGTTTCATAATAAATAAGGAATTTGAATGACTTATCTACTATGTGGCAAGTTGCTTAATTGTCATGACCTACACCAAACATAAGCTGCTGCTACAATGGGAAAAAAAAAACATAGTTGAGGAATTATCGATATGAAGCAATTAATTTGTCTCGGTGAGCCAGCGATCTTGGACCCAGACAGTACCATATATAGCAGCATAGCCTACTGAGCTTGCTGCATATCTCCAAATGACATGTAATACAGTATAAAATATAAATAATAGCCAATAAATAAATAAAAATTTGGCTATTATTTA